CCTGCCACCAGCGTACCTGGAGACTGCAGCTCTGTACTGGAGGCCGAAACCAGCGGCAGGCTGTCTCTTCAGGCTGCAGGCATAGAGACAACAGCAGCAGAGGTCATCCAAACTGAGACGCTACGCCCCCATCCTGACCCCCGCTCTCTCCACCTGATGTTACTCAGGTGCGACTCGGATTGACCATCAACCTTTTTCTTTCTGTCTCACAAATAATCAACAATCAAATCAGGACCCAAAGACCCAAAAATAAGAAACTCCATCGCCTTCACCAGACCAACAACAGGAAACTGCCAGACAGCTTAAAGACAGCCGACAGGACGACATCACCTCGCTGCTTTGGTCTTAGAAACATTGGATCAAATGTCAAAAAGGTTTTTTTCTCCGGTTCTGCAAAAACATTTGTACAAAGCACAGAGATCAAACCAGAGGAAACTCGGACACGATCACTCAGATGTGATTCCTGAAAGACGTGGATTTAGTTCAGTGTAACTCCAGCAAACGAAAAAACAACAAAAAGCAGATGAAACTCACATGTCAGACTCTCCCTTCAGCATGTGAATGCAACACTGAAACTCTGGGAGCATACATCCTTAAAAAAAATCACATCAACACACACCAAAGCTTTGCAGAGCCAAGAGGTGATTATTATTTCCTGCTGCGCAAACAAACCATTCGTCCAGGTTTTTATTTGATTTTACTGAACTCTGTTTGATTCCCCGTGTCCCCTCGTGTGCTGATGGCTGATCTCAGCTCTTAACCTCTTGATTTTCTTCCTCCTTGCTCTCTTTGCAACCTTGTCACTGTGTCTCTTATAATCATCGATGAAGCTGTTTAATCTGCACAGACCTGCATGAAAAGAAGTCAGCGTAGGTGGATTTAAACACTCTGATTATCTCAGTTTTCTACTATTGGATCTGGATGATGTCATAGAGGGTGGATATTCCTAATATAGTCATCGCAGACGCCAAAGCCACACCCACCAAACTTAGCCTAAACGCAGAGGAGCTAAAACAGCTTGTTTCAGACGCAGGATGAACTGTGACTCATGCAAAGCTGGAGGAACAGAGAGACGTCGTAGGACATAAACTTTTATTCTGAAAGTGTTTTCCTGCACACGATAGATTATTTTGATTTGTGAATCATGCAAAGCTACGTCAGAAAGGCTTTTAAAAACCTAATTTATTTGCTTCTACTCAGTTTTTCTTTCCATGGACAGAGGAATAAGACAAAGGATTTTATATTTAGCCAACCAACATGTGTTTGTTAGTCAGAGCCAGTCAGCACGAGTCATTCTCCATTAGAGGTGTACGGACACCAGGCTGAGGACTTTGCTGCCCAAAGCCATTCAGATAAATAAGAAATAATTAAAACTTAGAATAAGAACACAGATCCTGAGATGAGCAGAATAAACCTTTAACTGATAGATTTTTACATTTCCCAGCATGATCGGGATCATGAAGCTGGATTTTGCAGTGAAAATTTTATTTCTGTGTCTTTGCTTCTCTGCTTCCAGCTCAGCCCTGCGAGTCTAAGCTGCTTCCTCCTCGATGACTTACAGCTGAAGAGAAAAACAGCACACAGTCTCTTTATTGGCGGATAAAAGCTTGACCTCTGCTCCTATTGATTCACGGTGAGTCATTGGACGGCGTATGGACTCTGACGAAGGACAGAGGGGAGCCGGAGCTTTGAGGGGGAGGAGGTTGTATTTCAGTCCAAATTGGGGGGTGGGGGTGGGTGGGGGGCAGAGATCGATGGTGCATAATGGAGGGTTGATTAAATAAGTGCACAGAGAATAGAAAGCTCCATCCATCAGAGCTGGGACGGCTGTACGGGCGGGCGGGGTTGAAAGGTTTGCTCGTCCTCTCGGAGACTCGGCTGTGATGAGATTTCAGACGAGCCGCTGGGGAAACAGGAAGTTATGGAAAACAGACGGAGGGCAGTGACACCTTCAGAGGTCGTCAGCGGACGTTCGGCCCAGCCTCACCTGGAGCTCACCACACCTGGCTTGTCTTAGACTGTCCTCGGCCACATAGCCCTGTGTAGGACTTCTGAGCCACGCAGGATTTAAGGTGGTAACTGAGATATAAGCAGCCATGTGTCTGCCGCCGCCCTGAAACCAGCATTAGACCCAAAACTCTTAAACACAGACACTTATTTGCACGTGCTAACTCACAGCAGCCTGTTTAAACTGGGCATGCTCCAAACCTGACAGTCTCAGCTGTTTCTGCAGGTGAAATGTGGAGATTTTAACTGTGAGCTTCACCACCTGTTGATAACCTGATGTCTGCAGAGTCCTGCAGAGTGTCGAGTGCCTGCAGGCTAATCAGCAAAACACATGCAAGTAAAAAAATCTATTTATTTAAATTCTACGAAGCACGGATGTTTTTATTCTTCTTGTTTTTTCATTTTTAGAAATCACAAATGTAGGAATTCACAGTGTGGAGGAAATTCTTTAGTTTGACTGTATGACGTCACACAGGCTGTCACACACTTTCAGTTTTTTCTGCATCGGCTAAACGTGGCAATAAAGAGCTGGAGGATGACTCTCCTCTGCACACTGGTTTTCTCTCTTTAACCAATCAACACCAGTCACCAGTAATCAATAAAGAAAGGACTGAAGAGGCGGGGAGTCCCTCGTGGTCCCTTGGCAGGAAACCTTTCAGCACATCTGAGGACTCTTTGGTGTCGGCTCACTTGGATTACTTCATGCAGTTGAATCAGTCTGGATGGTGAGCTTTGCTTTAACAGAACCCGGCGCTAAAAGAGGCACCCCACCAATACAATACAATACACACATTCTCGTTTTGATATCTCAGTGAGGACATCTATTTGACAGAATCCCTAGCTGCTCACCTCGACCAAAAATGAACCCCAGCCACAACCTGACTGTAACCCTGAGACTAAACCCAAACTATGAGCCTCAAAATGCCTTCAAACCCGTGAGGACGAACACTGTCCCCACAAGGACGTCTAAACAGGTAAACACACACACACACAGTGCGGTGTCCCCCCCTGCTGGTCACATGAGCTCATTACACGTGAGCAGATTCAAAAGGCTTCAGACACCAGCCAATCACATCGCGTTTACGTATATCAGAGCCTCAGACAGAGACCGCCTGTGCAGGTGTTCTCATGTCCGGGGCAGGTGAGGTCGAGGCTACAGGTGAGGGGGTCAGCAGCTGACTACTGGAGCTCTGCTGCCTACCTGCTCCTCTTCACAGCCGCCGCCTCCTCTTCAGTGAGCGCTGTAACAGAAACAGAGGAGAGGGGGCGACACTGAGCATCTGATGATTTAATTTTAAAATCATTCCCACAGGTAATCGTTTACTCTAATTACACACCTTTGTTTCAATGGAAACATACATGAGTCTGCTCTTGCTTTTATTTGCTGTTTTAAATAATTGAGGACAATACGGGGAGGAAGAAGAGGAAGAGGAGGAAGAGGACACTTACAGGACTCGGTGCCGGTCATGTGGGCCAGGACCCGGAAGGACTTGGACTGCACGTTGGTGCTGCGGCGGCTCCATTCGCTCAGCTCCGGGTCCTTCTCCGTGCTCTGGACGGCCTGATAGACCAGCGAGGCGCTGTCCACGAGGCGCTCCATGACTGGGACAGAACTGGGACCACAGACAGGGGGCGCCACGTCGCCCACGACCAAAGCGAGTGAAAAATAAAGAGACAGTGAAGCACTGTGGGCCCAGCAGTGAACGGAAACAAAGTTCTGACGTCCTCTGGAGTTAAATATCTGATACTTCAAAGGTCACACGAACAAAACGTTACTGACGGCGTTCGATGGAGCCAAGAGGAAGCCGGACTCGCATGTCTGAGGACGGTTTGTTAGAAAAAGGAACAAACGGAGATGAAACACAGAAAGAGGCTCAGAACATTCAGCTTCGAGTCTCTTTGTTTTTGTGTATCTTGTGTTTAATTTGTGCGTCTTTGTGACTTTATCTGTTTTTCTCTTTTTTTTGTCCCGACCACGCAGACCTGAACCTTTCTGCTCATTTCTACGTCCTTATTTATGTTTTGTCTTGTCCTGCACCTCGCAGCAGCAGCCTGCTTGCTTCTGATTGGCTCTCTCTTATAAACGGAAACCTCGGCGGGTTTTTGCAGCTTTGGTCATTTTTCTGAACATCCACCAGTTTGTGCTGTGACGTCAGTTTCTTCTCTTTCAGGCTGTTTTCAGTCTTTTAATCTTTGTGTGGATGTTCGGGTCTCTTTGTGGTTACAGATGCTAACATTAAAAACTATTAATGACACCATTGTTTCCATCTTTCTCAGGTTTTTTTTAGTAGTTTGAAATCTTTTGTTGTTCTTTAAGGTCAACCTGCAGTGCACCTTTTGTTTGGCTCCGCCCACCAGGACAGGACTGCAGCCTGTGAGGGAGGAGGAGTTTATCATACTGGACTGTAATTGGTTTTCCAGAGACGCCCGCTCCTGTATGGATGAGTAGTTTTATTCAGGCTTACATTTCAATAAGAGCGGCTTTATCGGGGTCTAAAATGAGAGAGGCTGAAATAAAGAATGGGCATGGAGACCTTTGGAGGATAAACAGTGACAGCGCAACATCTCAGAGGAAGAGCAGGCGAGGAAGACACCACCAAAAACACTTCAGCACCGCAGCAGTAACATGACTTTATCAGCTGAGCTGGAAATGCATTCGGCAACAAGACGATAGGTAACAGGGTCAAACGTGATCACGAAATTGGGATGAACTGCTCAGACAGAGGGAACGTCTCTCTGGGGACATTTGACTCGGACTGGTCCACCTCATACGGACCGACTCCCACAGCCGAGGCTTCAGCCACACAACACACGACGCACAAAAAAAGGATCCCAGAGAAGCCCGAACCAAACCTTAGCAGTTCCTCAAAGCCACCACAGAAGAAGTCACCCTCTCCCCACATGTGCACAAACAGGCAGCACAATATTGCAGCACCACAATCATCACCACCAGTGTCAGCGATGAGTTGGACGTGAAGCAGCCGAGACCAAAGAGGACGGACAGAAAGGAGAGGACAGGTGGAGGACAACGAAGGGAAAAAGACAAAAACAACTAACGAAAAGTAATTTCTCATCAAGAAACATCTGTGGGCTGAGTACTCAAAGCATCAGCCTGTAAACTGAAGCTGCCTGTAACACATCCATGTGTTAGAAAACTACAAATATGGAGGATCAGCCCTCAGCAGGACTGACAGTAACCGTGTTAGTCATAACCAGGTGGTGTTGTGGCTTTTGATGTTTTTGATGCTGAAAGTGTAAAAACTGGTGGCAGGGTTGAAGGGTGCACGTGGGTACAGAAGAGGAAGATGAGGATGTCAGGAGGAAGAATTGGAGATAAAGTCAACGTAGAGAGAGGAGGAGGAGGAGGAGGAGGAGGTGGGGTGTTCATACCCAGCGTCGTGGCCCTTGGTCTGTGTTTGTCCCGCGATGGCGTCCATGATGGAGTCCTGTGAATACATACTGATGGGCGTGTTGTACTGGGCGTGGATGATGGTGGCCTTACCGCCGGGGCCTTTTACTTCAATGGGCTTGCTGGTGGAGAGGGCGGTGTCCATCAGCACGCTGGGATTGAAGCCGGCACTGTCGGGTGGGGAAGAGGAGGGGAGAAGGTGGAGATAAAGGAGACGATGGAGGGACGGAGGTGAGGCGTGTGGGTGACGGTGATGGGTTTGTCATGCAGCAGATGGACTAGTGAGGCTCAAGTTTTCAGGCTAAAGCTGAATGTTTCCAACAGAATCTCCATTTAAGGTGGAAACCCCGCCCACAGCATCACGACAGAAAACTCTGAGTGGCGTCCACAGGGATCTGTTCTCCGCCCACTCAACAGACTCAGAAATAATGCTGACTTTGATTCATTTGATTACATGTAAAACATTTATGTTGTAAAACAGATTGCATTAAATATAAATTAGATTTGTGTGATTGAGGTTCAGGATTAACTGTAACCAAGCAGAGCTTCCTTAATTAATCTGAACAAAAGAACCTTTGATTTAATATTTCATTTGCATTTTATTTAAAAGTCTGCTTCACATTCATGAGGGTGAAGAATCTTCTGTTTTTAGTGCATTATGCTCTAAATAATAACAACAAA